TACACTTAATCTCACAAAATTATAGCTGAGATGAAATGAGACTGTGGAGGTAGAAGGGTTTTGAAATGATGAAATGTAGAAAGTATGATTATGTCTGCTGTGTATATATCAGCCCGAGACAGCTCAAATGGAGGCCAGACAGAAAGGTTCAGGCGTGTGCGCAGCAGGTACGGGGTGCAGGAGAGACTGCTGTGCAAGGGCATCCACCGGGAACCCTTCTGAATAACTCCAAAAATGGCTTTAAAAGTACATTTATATGCTGATGATAATAAGCAAAATAAAGCTTTTAAAAATGTTTAGAATTAATGAAAGAGGTTTATGACCCTTATATTAAAAAAAGAAAACCATGGCAGCAGAGACAGTGAAATTATTGTCTTAACTCTTAGGTGTTGATTCTAAACGTTTTGGCCTTTAAATGAGATTTTTTTAGAAAAAAGGTTAATTAACTGCTATTTCATTTGTAGTGACTGATAAAGTTTTAAATCTAGCCTAGCCATTGCTTTATTATTCAGGGAGTTAATCCAAACAGTGTTTCACCAACCTTGAAGCTAATTCAAATGTGAGGGATTTTAATACTCATTTCATAATTGGGAAAAACTAACAAGTTTAATTAACATAAGAAGAATTCTTACTTTCTTCTTTTTGTCAGGAACTTGACAACAAGTATAGTATAAGCAAAACTGTGTGAGTCTTGAGTCTCATTTCTTTGGGCCGAAGAAACTTAGGGGACATTTAAAAATAAGAAACCTAATTTCCTTATTTTATTTTTAATTTCAAATTTTTCTTTTGAAAGAGAGCCTTTTGTTTTGGGTTTTATATGCATAGGGATGCACATATAATAAATGCATATAATCCTATATACCCTCTCTCTCTATTTTTTCTGTGTCTTTTCAATGGGTCCAAGGCATTGAAAAAAAAATAGAGCACCATGAAATACCATCTATCTGAGAAAGATGAGGCAAAGGACAGATCAGGAGATGGAGCCTTGAAGGAAGCCTAGGACATGAAAAGCACAGGAGGAAGTCTTATACGCTTCTTAAGAAGAGAGGGCCCCAATTTGGTCCTGAGTTTTCCAGCAGTCTCCACAAAGAGGGAAATTTAATCAGGTACATGAGTCACAGTGTCCATAAAATGGGAGAACAACAGACGTCTCTGGCAGAAAGCTGTGCTCAGTTTCTGAAGTTGCTCACTTTGGTTGAATATTCTCACCTCAAGCTGGGCAACAGCCTGGACTAAGGGTTTATTTGGAAGGAGCCAAAAAAGTTACCTTTCCTCTAAAATACACAGTCCATTAGACTCTGTGGGAGTGTAAGTACAGCTCCATAGAGGTTGAGAGTTAACAGCCCTACCTACTGACAGTTTTAAAAATGATTTCTCACATATAATAAACTTACCTCTTCAATTATATGAGGGGAGAATTTAACAACTGATGATAAACAATGGGTGTAGGAAAAGGAGTTTAAAAATATTTAAAGACACTCAACAGTAGAGAGCCAAAAATGTGGAAATTCAGATCATACCATATCTAAAACAAGCAGTAAATTATTAAGTATCCCTAAAATCTCAACCAATTGGAGGAGGTGAGGAACCAGGCTATCTCTTAGAATACTTCTACCTTTAGCTTTAGCCTATTATGCATAATAGAGTTGGAGTTTATGCCGAGGGGCCCAGCTCTGCCTTCAAGTGTCAGTGTGAATCTAGGCCAGTCATATCTCTTTTCTTGCAATATGAGAGGGTATCCAAATTATTGGTTGCAAGATGGGAGGCGGGGGTTCTTGCCCACCCAATCAAAGTGCTTCTAACCACAGAGGCACACTTAGTCTTCACCTGCAGCATGTCCCTTTGGTAAAATGCTTTTTCATGCGCTGAGAGCAGGTACAGTAAATGTCACCACCAGGTGGCAGGAGTGCACTCTGGATAAATGGAACTGCCATAGACCTTCTCTCTCTGTTTTCCACTCACTAAATAAGCTCTCCACTAGGTGACAGCAACATGAATATAATTGGAATAGCCATTAAGGGGTTATATAACAATTTTAATTCTTTTAAATACAAGAGCAGCACTTTAAAAAAGTATCCACAGTTGGATTTTTTTTTTCTCTAAAGAACGCTTTTAGGCCTCCCACACATTAACTTAATACATAAAAACAAAACAAAAAACCCCAAAGCTTTGGGGGGGTTTCATCTTCTAAAGCACCTGAAAAAGATTACTATTTGAAACCACTATTACTTAAGGATTTATGCAGCCCAGACTTTCTTACCCCAATTTAGAAAAAAAAAGTGACTAAAATTGTCACTTCTTTGAAGATAATAGTTATTATTTATTGACCATCTACTGTATTGTGCCAAGGACTTACACAGAGGGTGCCAAAAAAAATGTATACACATTTTAAGAAAGGGAAAAACTATTAAAATTGTAATACTCAATATATACCAATAATAAAAGATGAATACAAGTCACGTTTGACTTCTGCCATTACAAGAGGTGCTCAAAGTGGTTACCATCAGCGTCCAGACACTTCTGATTACGGCGAACTACTGCTTGAGCAACGCTGACCAAAGTGTCCACTTGTATACATTTTTTTGGCACCCCCAGTATTTAAATGCTTTGAAAACATGAGTTTGTTGAATCTAGATCAGAGCTTTCTAAGAAAGCCCAGATTTTAGGGCCATCCCTTAAGCCTTTTTAGGGCCATCACCTCTGTATTTTCCATGACCTTATTATGCTTTTTCTGTTTGGGCCGTTTTCAAAACCCATACTGCAGGAGAAATTGGAAGTGTTTTCACAATATGATTTTGCATGCATACAGGGATGTATTCTGTCTATTTATGACTTTCCCTCTTATGTAGTTGCACAACATTAATCCAGTGAGGGACAATAATACATTTTGATTCTCTAGTTACATTAAAGGCTAAAAATGAAGATTGGTTTGGGAGCAATTGCAAAGTAATAAACTCATTCATGCTGAAATATAAATGACTGATAGATGAGAGCAGAGGAGGGCTAGATAGAGGAGACAAATGTTAAGTGCTTGACTAAGCAGAAGAGAGGAGGGATGGGATGGGGGCCAGGGAGCCCGGAGTTCAGGTGAGCAGCTTCTCACTTCAATGGCTGCCCCTGCTTAGTGCCCAGAGTCTTACCTGTATAGGGTCCTGGACAGCCAGAAGTAACCTGTGCAGCACAAATGCTTTCTTTGTGTAACAGAGACCTGAACAGGCTTTGAGTTCCTTAGAAGCAAACACTGAGCAGTCAAGCTTTAAAAACGGAGTATAGCTGACCCTTGAACAGCACAGGTTTGAACAGCTCAGATCAGTAGGTGGGTTATTGTTGCTGTTTTGTTCCCCCCCCCCCCATACAGTTGACCCTTCCTATCCGCGGGTTTCACATCCGCAGATTAAACCAACTGCAGGTGAAAACAGTCTTTTCACATTCCCAACCGCAGATTCCCAGCCACTGAAAACATTGTTTTCAACCAGTGGTTTGTGGAATCAAAAGTAACACATGGATTTTCAACTGCACGGGGCTCAGCGGGCCCTACCCCCGCGTTGTTCAAGGGTCAACTGTAACAGCAAGTGGTTGTCTGCGAGGTGTCCACAGTGAGTGGAGCTGCCCTCAAGAAGTCCCGCGGAACTTCATTTCCAATTAATTCAGTTTTAAATTGAACTAGAACCTATTATAGAGGAGAAGAGGAATAAGAGGTCAAGGGGTGCAAATAGTCTTCTAAGATGATTTTTGTGAACAATGATGTTATTGTACAGCAAAGCTGCTCTTTTAATGTAGTTTATTTCAAGTATTTAAGAGAAATACAACAACCCCAGAGGGAAAAAGCCAACTAATGAGGAGAAAGTCCCTTTTTCGCTTCTTGCACAAGATGGTCTGGTGGTGGGGGAAGGGGTCTGGAGGAAGATAAAGAAGTAGGAATGAGGGAGTTAGGGAAGGGTGGTGACTGTTTTTCATATGGGGCCAGAACCATGTCCCCAGGTATTTGCAGACAATGTAAGGTGACCTGGGGTGCCAATAAGCTAGCACATGTTAGTAACAACTGCCATGAACCATGCACCTACTTACTAGGAGCCGGGTATTACTCTTATCTCCGTGTCTTACTCAGTCCTTAGGCAAGTCTTATTGGGGAGGTGATATAATCCTTTCTTGGGAGAGAATAACTTGCCCAGAGTCCAACAGTTAGCAAAAGGCACAGTTGGGATTCAAACCCTGTTCTCTTATCAGTATTCCCTCTGCTTTTCTAGGGCCTCCTTCCTCAGCCATGGCTGGTGATATATACTGACTGACTGCCACCAGGGGTCACACGAGCCAATTTGGATGGATTAGTAAGCACAGATGGATCTAAAGGTATTTAATTATAACCATGGCCTGTCCAAGTTTAGGTCTACTAAAATTGTAACATGAAACTGGGGCATCATAAAAGGTTACTGGGACAACAACAACATGTTTGAAGAAAGTCCCTCTCTTCCCCTTTTTTCTGGCTTAAACAAGAATAAAGGAAGATAAAACAGCATGAATCCAGCCCAATAGGCAGCACAACCAGAAGCTTTTATGCTGTATACCTGGCAGTTGGCCCAAAACTGATCAACCCCACTTTCCTAGTGAGGACAGGAGGGTGTGATGGCAAGGAAACAGTTTTAAAAACAAGGTGAATATAGCTTGAGCATTAAGACAGAACTGTTGACAATTGTTGGTGCTGTTTTGTTCTCTATCAACGTGTTTACTTTTGGTTGTATATAGTAACTTTTCTGTGGTTTTGATCCCCAGAATTCCTTCTTCCCAAAGGACAAAGCTCAGACTGGAATTCTTACACAAGTTTCAGAGAACAAAGTAGAGAAAGCCAGCAGATCTCAAGCAACATTTGCATTCTACAAGACAGTTACATTTTAACTGTACAATCAATGATACAGTCACACTGCATGAATGCATTTTTCTGCAAATGTTTATTTGGAAAGATTTTCAAGAAATTTCAAGTGGCTGAGTCTGTGGCGGTTTCTTTAGGTGAAAAAAGTACTAACAGTCACTATGGAAATTAAGATGCAGGCAACAAGGAGCAAAATTAGACCTATACGGCAATATTTTGAAGTCTTCTCTTGTTCCTCTTCCTTTTTCAATAAGGTATCAAAACCAGGTGTGTACATGTCTCCCAACCAAAATCGTAGGTCATTAGGATTTTCCTAGAAGAGAATTACATGGAGAATAGGATCAATCAGTGTCACAGAGTAATTGAGATTGCAAAACAAGACATTGCCAGAGGTACTGCAGGTCCATAGTCACAGTCATCATGTCCCAGGTGAGGCTCAAATGTCATGGCTCAAATAAGAGAGGCTAGGCTTCCCTGAAGGGCACAAACACGCAGGTACAGCCTCCTGGTCGACCAGGAGTCCGGGCAGCTCCGACCTGTAGATCTGTGTGAGAATTCATTAGGAGACCTGCGTGACTTATTGACTAAATTGCTCACATTGGAGGTTCAGAAACACATGAGTGTTTCAATCATGTTTTAGCCAATTTAGTGTCTCATACATCTCATAAACAGTGCATGTCAATCAGGTTAGTGAGTTGAAATAAAATTAAAATGCCTTGCTTTAGATGAGCCTTAAAGTTTGATTTTTGTTGGCATGGTAAGGATGAACATGTTTGGGGAGATTTTCAGTCAATCCAGAAGCTGACTGCCATGGAAGGAGGAGTAAGGCTGAGAGTCAAGGGCCCCTCCGTGCTTCTCAGGCTGCTGCTGGTCCCCCTTGTAGAGGGCTAAGGCATGTTCAATGTGCAGAACCTTTGGCCCTGTTGGACCTCCTGAAGAAAGAACCCAATATATCCTTCCCCACATCAGCTCCTCTTCCCCATTCCTCATCTTCCTTTCATTTCTGCAGAATGGTCTTCAACTCAACCTCATTTCTTATGTCCAATAAATCACCTGCAAACTCTACTGTTCATACATTTAAATAAAATGTTCTCTTCTAATATCTCCCGCTATGTTTCAGTGCTAAAGATTCAGTGCCCATGCCTGGTATTTAGCAAGCATACAACAAATGTATGGTGAACACTGACTCTCTTTCCACAGACCCACTTCAGACGTCATGATTTCTCATCTGGATTATTGCAACAGCTTGCAGCTGGGCTGCCCACCCTCTCTCTGACTCTCGAGTCTCAGTGGACTTAAAGTCAGCCAGTTTCCATGGCCAGCCTCAGAGCTCAATGACCTAGCTTCAGACTTAGCATCGCACAGCTAGAGAGCAACGTGCAAGCATGTAGGGAGCTGGGTGGATTCTGGGCATGGCAGTACAACTCTTCCATCATGCTGCGACTAGTTTCAACTTTCTAGTTTTAGAAAAGCTAAAATATTAAAACCTGGATGACTTGTGCAGAAGGACAGATAATTTAAAAATCCTTGTCTACTTTACTATCATTCTTCATTTTGTTTGTGTTCTCATCAGAGGCCTTCCCTGTGCCTGCAAGTGTAATGCCTCCATTCTCCAGTGAGAACGTCCATAGTGGAGACTATCCTCTTCATTCTGCTTGGTAACTAAGTAGCGGGCTCCTTTCTCCTTTCTTATTTACAAACTCTTAGCAACTTAGAGAGCAGCCAAAGGAATTTGCAACTTTTACAGCCTGTAAGGGGTGACAAGTTTTCTGAAAATACGTTAGGGGCTCTGCCTGCTAATTATGAGATCTGGATAGAGATGGTGATGAAAGAAGTCAAATTAATGAGGTATAGGAAGAAATTATAATGAAAACAAAAGTTATGACTTCCAGAAGCAGCCCTCAAGAGAAGATAGTGCTGAAGAATAGCATCCTGAGGTCTGTAAATGGGCTTGTGACCTGAGAGGCCACTGCTTTGAGGTGAGTGAACTGCACGTATGGGAAGGGGGCAAACCCTGTTTTAGTAAAGCAATATATCCATCATATTCTTATTTGATCTTCCTAAACATAACTTGTGGAATTGTCCAACAACAAAAAAGTGACTCCTCATTGCCAATAATGTTCAATTTCCTTAGCCTTACATTTGAACACTTACTTTTAGCCTGCTCTTTAGCCTTATTTTCCCATTTTTCTATTTCTTCAGCTGTAGCTCCAACAAAACTGGACTGCTTATCGTTCTGACAAACTCTCTCACTTTCTTGCACGTGTGCCTTTTCTCTTGCTATTACTGAAAGAAGAGCCTCCCCACTTGTGCAAACCGTCTCTATCTTTTGGAATTCTATGCATCCTTCAAGCCCAGCATAAATTAACTTGTTTGTGAAAGCTTTTTTATAATCCAATGTGATTTTGTCCTCTTCCGAATCTGGGCATCACTTTGTACTGTCATTACCGTCACTGTCCCCTTCCTTCATCTTGTCACTTCCTTATCTTATTCTGTAGTTACCGTTTGTTACTTTGCTCAGTTAGAGGAACTTTTTGAGGGCAGGGACAGTTATATTCATCTTTATAGCACCCTTGTCATTCATGTAAACAACAAAGAGAATAGAAGAGGCTTTATCATACAGTCAAGAAATGTTTGGGAAATAAATCAATACATTTTTCCCTACTTGTAGAAGGTGACTTTTTAGAGGCCATGATCTGTAGGCGCCTGATAAAAAACACAAAATTATTGTTGCTACTGGGGAGCCTCTGTTATGGAAACTTCTCTGGAAAAGAGGCTACATTAAGAAGGAGATACATTAAATATACTAGGAGATTAAGAACTTTCCAAGATGCTGGACAGCAAGATATTTCAAGCAGTGCACATTTGAGATTTTTAAAAGTGTAAGATTTTAAGGGGACATAAAGCTGTCCCCTTAAAAAGAAAAAACTCTTCAGGTGCTTAAGGTATGGGGCTGAATTAAGGGTACTTGGAAAATGTGAGGACTTTCTGGCCCTCGGGCAGCAGAGGCAAGCCAAGCCTGAGTAGGAATCCAGTGCATGTAAAGAACAGAAGGCCACTCTCCCTGCTTTTCAGGTATTTCGAGATCATCTATGTGATGGGTGACACCAGGAGGAAAAAAAAGAAAGAAAAACCTAAGTTGGGTTTAAGCTGGGTGAATGAGTTCATTGCATACTTTTCCTGTGTTGAAATGCTTTTGTTTTGTTTTGTTACTGGGACAGGAAAGAGTCCAAAATGTAAATCTGTAATCTTGACTCACCGAGCGGACTTGAAATAAAATGATCTTTGAAGAGAACTGCCTTGCATAGTGCTAAAGACAGAACATTTAATAAATATTTTTGAATTAGTGTCAACTAAAGGAGTCATACGTATTCATGAACATAAATGGTCACAAAACTAGGGAAAAACATACATAATCTGGCAAATTTATTTTCAAAAAAACGTTTGTTTACCTCCTGGGTAAACCTTTCTTCTGTGCCACATCATTTCTTCCTCTCTACACTATCCTGATGCCAGTAATAGCTGAAATTGTCAAACTCAAAACAAATAAATAAACAGAGATAATGATGAGGAGAGAGAAAGGGAAACCAGAAGCCAAATGACCTGAAACCTGGAGGTTTTGTGCCTAGTGAACTCTCATGTCTTTTAGGATTATTTAACTGATCTCCCTCCTCAATTGAAGGAGCTGATTCTTTGCCGTGAGTACCTTCAGATGCCCGGAAAGGTTTGTGTGCAGGGAGCGCTTGTCATATTCCTCGATGGTCCATGAAGGATTCCTTTTTCTTTCTTCCATAGCTTCCTCCAAACTTACGTCACCATAGAGTGGGTTATTCTTCAGAACTGATGACAGGGATGGTGGGGGGATATCTACAGCGACAGCACCCTCCGCAATGGACCCCCTCCTTCGTTGAGCAGCTGTATTCTTCTTAGCTCTCTGTTAGGAAACAAAGAGAAGGCTTCTCTTACCAGTGGGTCACCAATGGCAGAGAATGTAATGTGAAATAACTGTACCTGAGAATTTGTTGACTCTACCCAGAAACCCAACAGTTTAAGACAACGAATGAGAAAAGGATTCTAAAATCTAGGTTGACCTAGAATCCTCTCATAAATTGAGTCCTTTTATTGCCTGTAATCTTGTTCAGCTTCAGTAATCATTCATTAAAATGCTATTTTATAAGTACAGAGAAAGAACACTGTTCTTTAACTCAAACAGTAGAATTCTGGAGAAAGCCATTTTTTTTCCAGCTCACTTGTATTGAGATTTAATGACATTTTACTTTGTTCTATTTGTGCATTCCATGACTGATAAGAATGAATCCAGCAAAGTCAAGATTAAAAGGCATTTTATAGGCACGCTTTGGCTTTCAGGAAAATCTCTGGGGACTCCTATTTCAGATAGCTTGGAGAACTGGACTAACTTAAGCTGGCACTCCTATATGCCTCTATGGGACCAGCTGGCTATTAGATGGCTCTAATATTGACTTTCACATTTTTAAAACTTTTTAAAAATATGCATATAATATGCATACAGAAAAACGCACGTATAATAAATGTATAGCTCAATAAATTTTCACAAACCAAATAAACCTAAGTTCTACCATGAAATGGAACATTACCAGCATACCCCATGCTCCCTTCCAGTCACTATCCATCCCCTTGCCCAAGGATACCCAGTCCCCCTAATTTAACAGTGTAGGTCTGATTGGACTTATTTGTTATTTTATATAAATGGAATCATGCAATGTGTGATTTCCTGTGCCCAGTTTGACCTTCAATTTGACCTTTGTTTTCCTTTTTTTTCTTATGACTACAAAACTATCATGAAGGTAGAAAATTTTTTAATTACAATTTGTTCATTGGCCAAATAAAATTGAGAAGAAACAAAGAGCTTATAGATTTATGGCTCATTTATCACAAGGCCTCAAGGGATAAGAAGTTAATTTTAAGAAAACTTCAGTTTAGCCTTTAAAAACTGGTGGTAAATTTTATTAATAATTTACAGCAATTTTTGACAAATGTGTTTCATATATTCCAGCCTCCTTAAACAGAGAAAGTTGAATAGCAGTTAGTATTCTTTTAAGTCTTATTTTGATCATCAGTACATTGATCCCCTCAGCATCACTGGGGTATGTAGGTCACATTAAATATGCATTTATGTAAGGTAAGTTGTCAACTAATATTACATATAGTTTCCTCCTGAAATGGCTGGTAGTCCCAGCCCCCACCACCCCCCTTTCCAAAAAAAAATCTAAATAAAACCATTCACATTCGCTTTGGCCTTAGGTTTTCCATAATTTTTTATATAATTAGAGATTAACATGGAGCTCTTCTCTGACTTTATTAGGTTGTTGTTCTGCTCAAAATCAATTTATAGTCTACGATACTGAAGTTTCCAATTAAATAATAAATCATCTTGACTTAGTATTTGTCTTAAGATAGATGACCTCATAAAAATGTTTCTGAATTGAAGAAAAACAATTTGATATGAAATTTACATCGTTTCAGGTTAGCATAACTCTGACTCAAGTTGTTTTTTTTTTAAGTCTAGATGTCTTTGATCATCTCTGAAGAGAGATAATTCTTCTGACACTGATAAATTGGCTGTGTCAGTTTTCTTGCCTGCTAGACTATTCTTGAGCTTTTTAAATAAGAAAGCTCTATAAATGAGGAAAATATAGTTTCAGGGGTCAAGCAAAAATAATGTACTCTATTACAATGTATAAGTACTTTGAAAAACTAATACATAAAAGATGGCAAAATAATCAGAGCTGTATTCTAAAAAAAAACATTCCAACCCTTAATTCTAAGCCACATTCTTGAAACTTTGAAGCTTCACCTAGAACATGGTTCCATTTATTTTTGCATTGAGCGACAATTTCATGCCTGAAAGACATGTAAATAGAAAATTAATAGAATAACTTTATTAAGAATTTGATGGCTGCATAAAAATGCTAATTATGGTTGAGGTTCATTTGTATTTTGAAAATTTTTTCAAAAAGCTTAAGAAAAGAAAAAAAGCATGTATTTGATTGCAACTCTTCATCCACATTTTTTACAGATTATATTTAGCAAAGGAAAACTCAATATTAATTCCATTATTTTCATTATATAACTCTAAAATAATTTATATTTTAAAATAGTTATATAAGGAAAATAATATTTCAAAGTTTACCTAGACTTTTTGGCATTAACCATTACTTAGTTCATTTCTTCTTTATACACTTTAATTATTATTTATATCATTTTTGTATAAGTAAACTATCATTCAATAAAAAGAGTGAAATAGAAGACATATTCAGACAAACAAAAACAGCATATACAATTAATAGGACAAAAAAGAAGGAATCTCTAAAAAATGTACTTCAAGCAGAAGAAAATTGATACTAGGAAAAAAGGTTCAGATGCAAAAAGGAATACTGAGCAAGAAAAAGGAAAAAAAGAAAAGTCATAAATGTATGTATAAATCTAAGCAAGCATTAATTTTATGGTAAAATAGAAATAATTTGTGAGTTTTAAAATAAGAGACCACTAAAACACTGAACAGTAACAAGTTTAACAGGTACTGTATTTCCCCATGTATAAGACACACCCTTTTTTGAAACATTTGGGGTCTAAAAACTGGGTGCATCTTATACAGTGGTTGTAGATTTTTTACTTGCATTTCCCGCAAGTGATGAGGAATTGTATGAATTTTATGATGAATAAACCTTGAGTTCAATAACTTTGTGTAATACATTTTTTTCAAATTTTGGGCCCCAAAATCAAGGTGCATCTTATACATGGGAGTGTCTTATACCTGGGGAAATACAGTATTTTCTGATGAGGACGCATTAAGAAATTTCAGTGAGAGGATAGAGATAATACTAAAAAACAGAGGAAAATGGGTTGCTTAATTCAGTAGAGCTACAGGTAAAACAGAAAGGTGAAAACAAAAAATGAAAGAATAGAGGAGGAAGGAAGCCTCAGGAAAATAAAAAGAAACATTTTAGAAATAATCACATTAAATGTAAATAAACTAAGCCCTCTATTTAAATGACAGAGATTGTCAGATCAGTTTAAATATTAAACTCAATTATACAATACATAATATTTATAAAATATAAGGACTCAGAAAGAATGAAAGTGAATGAATGTAAAAAAATATAGCAGGGAAATATACTCATAAACAAATGAGAGCTGGGTCTTGTGGTGACTGGTTAAATACACGCCAATTTTGCTTTTCCTTCCTGAGCACATAGCCTTTCCAAGTCTGTCTTGAATTTAAACTGGGATCAGCTCTTTTCTAGTTGATAGTATGTAGACAAAAGTAACAGAGACCACGTCCAAGCCTGAGTCTTGAAATCTCCCACAAGATTTTTGGCTTAATTTTCCTCACTTTCCTTTCTTGTGTCACTGTAAGCAAGTGTTCTGAGATGGCAGAGCTACAGAATAAAGAACATGAAGCCCTGGGTTACTGCTTGGAAAAGAGCTTCCCCAAAACACATCTGCAGCTCCTCAGATTTTTTATAAGCAAGAATTTTTTTTCTTTATAGTTACTGATATTCTGTGGGGTATGTCATCATAGCATAGCCTCGCCTACCTTTGCTAAAACAAAATGCTTGAAATTCCACAAATATGTGGTATTGGTTTAGTCATCAAGAAGTGGAAAGGGATAAAGTGATATCAGAAACTGAAATTATGGTCATTCACAAAATACAATGAAAAATATTTGGCATAAATATCATCTGTGGCCTCTTGTATCTAGTCCCCTGTAGCTCAAGAAGAAACACATGTAAATTATCAGCACATTTATGTCTATCTAATGATATTACAAGAATCAAAGCATTGGAATAACACAAGAAAGAGATGAGATTAGAGGTAGAACTAGACAGTTTGCGAGAAGAAATGAAAGAGAGTAAAGAGAGTCTAGAAATTTGATGCCTTCTATTGTTGAAAAATCTGTTTATAGACCCCAAATGCTAAAATACGGACTTATTTTTTTTTAAGCATTCAACCAGAAATAGCCCTTTAAAATTTCTCAGCTTAGTGAGGTAACTCAGGTCAAGGGTATGGTTTCATAACTATTATTTCTGACAGTCTCCATGTGGTTGCCACTGAGTCAAAGGGCAGAGGAATGGAGGCAGAAAAGAAGGCATGAAAGCCTGTTTGAGAACTATGCCTTAAAAGAACTTTAGATGAACTTATTGATGTATGGAACTGACTTCAACTATATAGATAAGATTACATTCATAAATAGCTTAATTTTTGCAAGATATGTATTACCAAAGAAACCTACACCCAAAAGCTTTTGATTGTTTGAAATTAAAAAACAAAACAAGGGCCGGCTGAGTGGCTCAAAAGTGCGAGCTCTGAGCAATAGCGGTTCGATTCCCAGCCCGAGCTGAGTTGCCACTGAGCTGCCAACAGGTGGCAGGATGGCTCAGCTAAAAAACAAAAAACAAAACAAAACAACCACCATAACTCTAAGCCTCCAAATATACATGAGCAGGAGTAAACTTTGAAGCCTATACAGCCTGGAAGGAGGGCCAACTTCTGATATGGCAAAAGAGAAGGATGAACAGGGGGATGTCTCCTAGAGGGTGGAGCCAAGGCAGACAGAGAACAATGCATCAGGAGGTCTACAAAGAAGAATCATGGCCTAATCAACGTTCCCCACCTTCAAGGAAGGAGGCCACCTAAACTGTTCCCAGTGGGATCTCAGAATTACTTTGGAAGGATGACTGCTGTGGCTTTCATTTTTCCCATTCAGAAAGGAAGAATTTTATATGTATATTAAAATTTATACATATATAAAATATTGTATTACATATACATGTAATATATATTGTATTATATACATTATATATAATATATAATTATTATATATACTATATATACATATTATATATAACACACATATATATATTGTGTGTGTGTATATATATACATATATATACATATATATACATATATATATATGTATATATATATATGGTATGTATGTATATATGTTAAACAGAATAACAGACTGTGGCAGAGCATGGCTAGATACTCACCAAATCCATGTCTTCTTCATGGGCATACAACATCCAAGTGAGGAAGGGTGATTAGGAAATAAACCCAGTAAAGGACACTGCCTAGAAGTCAAGGGAAGAACAACCTCTTACCCTTGGCCTTCCGCTCCAGCTCACAGGTTTAGTGTGGAATGCTCCTGGGTTCTGAAACAGACGTGATGGAAGCCAGGAAAAGATATAACAAAGAGATTAGTCAGGTAAGATTCCGAAGTCTAACTGCTAATCAGGAAAAAAAGGCCCAACACAATATCTAAAAAACATATTTTATCATTTAAACTAAACAACAACAAAAAATCAGTCTCTTCCTGTCATTACCTCGTTTTATAAAGGGATTGGCAGAATTATTTGGAATACAATTCCAAATGCCTTCATCAGTTACATGCCCCAAATAATTTTAACAACCAGAAACATTGGGTTTTGGAGAAAAGTTGCTTGTTGCACTGAAATGAAATTTATTGTGAAGCTTCTTTAATTCTCTAGTGAAAAAATGTAAGAAGAAAAAGTATAGGGGCCGGGCGAGTGACGCATTGGTTAAGAGCTGGCTTGGGACACCAGCTCTGAGAAGCAGGCACCGGTTGGGATCCCACATGCGGGCCAGTGATACTGCGCCCTCTACAGCTAAGATGCTGAACAACAGCTCGACCTGGAGCTGGGCTCACATGAGTCGCCAGCGACGGCGTAGGCTGCAGTCCCTGCTGCAGTGGTCTGCCATAAGCTACCGTGAGCGGTAGCTGGTGTGAGCGGCCGTCCAATGGCTGGCGACCCATCTGCCTCAGTCTGGAAGAGTGCAATGATCACAATACCAACATGGGCCAGTGAAGCGATGTCCGCCACAACTAGACTGAAGAACAAAAGGACAGCAACTTGTCTGTTCCCCTTCCCCAATTCCCCAATGCTGTTCCCCTCCCCTAACTCCCCAATAAAATCTTAACAAAAAGCGAAAAAGAAACATTTGCTCATACTCTCTCTCTCTGCAAATACGGTGACCCATGTATCTGCACAGATGGGGGCTGACCGCGCCTGGAGAGGGGCATGCCTGAGCACCTCGGTGCTCACTTTTCTTTATGCACCATATTGCTTAGTTCATGTAAACATGGCAGAGAGAATTTCCTCTGAAAGTGAAACGTGAATTAAAAAAAAGCTTAACATGTAAATCATGGATACAAATATGATATGTATATTTAAGAATTCAACTTCATATTTGGGTCCCAGAGGATCTTTGTTTTAACTGCTGCATTACCACCAATTTTAAAGGCAATGTTGAAAGGTTAAGTCTTTTGACAATCCATGAGGTAGCCTGAGTCCCAGCCACCATGCACCTGGATGGTGTGAGACCAAAGGGTAAACTGACACAGCTCCGAAGTTTGTGTGGGTTTCAGGTTAGCATAAAATCTACTGCATAGCTTGACAGATGTACTGAGTACATCCTCCAACACCATCATCTACACTACACACACACACACACACACACACACACACACACACACACCCTTCCATCCCAGTATAAATTTTAAAATGCAAGTGATGTTATTGGCTGTTTTCCAAATTCTAATGAAAAGGATAATTTCAACACATTTTTGAATATTGGCAAATAATAATAATACATAATCTTGTATTCTTATGGGAAACCCTTTTTCTCAATTGTTTTTACATCATTTTATTTGCTCTCACTTTTAAAGAAATGTGTAAAATGAATATTATCTTAATTTTGCAAGTGGAAAAAAACTCTGACATGGATTGAAGAAAGACCATAATTGATGTCTTTCAAACTGTCTTCCTCTACATTTGACATAAGAAATCAAGTTTCTAACCTGTTTATTCAATGTTCTTTCAATTGGCTTAATGTCTCCCCAACAGAGTGAGGGTTTTCAATTAAGAACTATTGGACAGCTGTCACCTTACATATTCCAACATCCCAACATGCCTGGTATATTCAGTGCTCTCTTCCAGGTGGTCATTCCAACTACTTAAAACTTTCATATGTTTATTTATTTTAGATTTATTTTTTATCCAATGAATATATCACTGCCATGTTTTAAGACCCAGCCAATGAGAGAAGAACTACTAATTGACATATTATAATCTGAAGTAGTGCATATAATTATTGTTACTCATAATTTGTGCCACACCTACCCAACTATCTGATTTTGTAATTGACTTACTCCCCCTTCCATGCATTATGTCAATAGTAATTTGGTCTTTATTTGGTCTTTTAATATTTCTTTTTAGGGTAAAAAGATAATAAAATCAAGTTTATGTGCAGTTTATAATTACCAGTAACTCATTCAAAGACATAGGAAGCAGATTTTTACCTCCTTGATTTCTCCTTCAGTAACTATTTCCACCCATTAGAACTTGTTGAAAAAGATGCCCTTTAAAATTTTGAATTAGATCAGGTTTAGGAACAACATTCAACAGAGCTTGCAACTGTAAAGTTCCACATGAAGGAAACAGGTCAATTCTAGCACCAAACAAAAGATGTTAGAGCGATGTGTTCCAACCTCAAAGGAATTAATTGGATATGTTTTCTTAGACTAAACCTTATAGCATAGGAGGGCCACAGTTTTCCAAACTGATTTTTGAATTATTTTATTCTATGATATAAACAATAAAGAATAAAAAGGAGGAATTTCATTAAGTTTAGCTTAAAACTTAACAAAACACAGAAACAATAACCAAAAAAAGTGAGTATGGATGGGCGGAAGCATTCTGAGGATTACAAACGGGAAAGATGCAACATTTAAAAAAAAATCAGTTGTCACAATAGGCTGCCTTACCATGGAAATAAATTAAAACCCTTATAGGTGGAGGAAACACTTACATAATCATTTGAGTATATTTGATTTTGAATGATCTCACGATAAAGGTCCCAAAGCGCTCACAAAACGCACCACAAAGGAGTCACTTTATACCAGGACTCATGAGTAGCAACTGTTTCTTAAAAGAAAACAAATTTCTGTTCAGGGAATTTGAACCCCTCCAAAGGATTTAATGACTTGCAGGGGTTTGCAGGTCAGTCACATCTGTTCTGAAGTGAAAGGCTTCTTCCTGTTTCTAGAGGGACTAACCCTTAACCCCATTAGCCCTCACATCTTAAAACAAAGATTATTCCTGTTTCATGAGCTGTGCAATAGTCAGAGTCTTTATGTTTATTCCAGCACATGGAACTCATCACAGTTTCATTCTTCTCTTCTGGTCAGCAAAAAGAAGGAAGATGCAAAAGAAGAAAGCAAGAAACAAAGTCTGCATTGGATTTAAAGGTCCGATTGGTATGTTCTGTCCACATGGGCACCTGCGGAAAATAAAAGTACCGAAAATAATAGCCAGTGCCTTTCCAAGGTGGAGGGTTCCCTCTACATTTTTTCCTTCTGTCATTACACTTCCATTGTTCTGCTCTCTGAGTCTTCTCTGCATGAAATGAAAGGGAGCCAGTCAGAATGGGGTATCTGATGCTTCATGCTTAGAATACACCAAAAGATAGAGGTAGGTTCACAACCCCAACCCCACCCCCACCCCGAACTCAGGAGACTCATTTGCAAAGGTAACAATTGGTTTGGGAAATTTTGAAGGAAAGGAGTAAAAGTTTTATAAAACTTGAAAATGAGGACACGCTGAGAAGCTAGTGCTTGCAGGGAAATAAATGGGTGGGAGAATTCACATGTCTTATAAAATGATCAGAGAGTCTTATGTTCAGGAAGAAAAACCTTTTCTTTATGGCAAGAGTGAGCAGCTACCTTGTCCTGTGTTCCCTGTAGCTTTCCTTTTGTACAAGTGATGAAATGGCAGACAGAGAGAAGAAAGGGGCCCCTGCCACCATCTTTATGTGCTCCCGGATCTCACCTGTGAATAGACGAGGTTTTGCCAGTGTTGTGCAGCCGGATAACTGCCCCCTGGGAACCTCACCAGGCTGGCCTGAAGAAGAGCTGAGTTCCTCATTAAATACTTCACATCAAGCTGCAGGAATTTGTCGGGATGGTTGTTATTTGGCAAAGCAGAGAGATCCATGTTTCCCTTCGTCTACTGCAGGCAACAAAGGCAGGTGAGGCTGTGCCTGTCAGGCTCGTCCATTATTCATGAGCCTGAGGATGCTCCGATTGGCATGTGAAACCAGGTCTCCCAGCTGCACTGGGACGCCACTCTCGAAATGACACATCAACACAGGAACAGTGCAGCAGCCTGCCTGCTCTCTGACCCAACACACACACACACACACACAAACGCACTTAGGGTGCTGGAATGGAAAGATGGGGCTACACTCATTAAATGTAATAGGATGCCCAAATGAGATCTGTGTGGCTCTTAATGTGTCTCCATTCAGAGTCAGAAATAACAGTTTAGGAAAGAGAAACTTAGGATAAAGTGTCACAGTCCCTAATTTGGAGCACATGAGACTGTCACCGCAGAGAGCCATTCACTTTTCTCTCTGAACACGACTGTGCTGGACAAGCTGACTTGGCCCTATGCAGCCAGCCTCGCATGTGATACGCAGGATCTTGTTTCTTCTCGTGTTTTGACTCCCAGTGTCTCAGGCTCATGTGAAACCTAACCTGGTTTGGGTTGTCAGCTTCGTTCTGAGTAGGGAAATGGGTAGAATTTGCTTTCTAGTTTGCTACAGTAATTGTGTCTCAGCCTACAGCCTTGACCCATTCACTGTGGTCCCTTTGACTCTCTTCCTAGCTGTACAAACGCCTCCAATGTGTTCTGGTGTTGGCACGGTACATTTGGAACCAAAGGGGACCATGGCTGCTGGGTTCGGATGACGTGTTGTCCTAAGTGAACCCATCTGCTGCTCAGGGAGCCAAGGTGAGGTTATGGACAGTGTATTAAGCCAGGAAGTGCTGATGGCTTTAATGGAGATAAGCTCTCTCATTTGAAGCCATTCCGCCTTCAGCAACCCATACTTCCCACTGGGAAAGGATAGATTTCCATCTAGAGAAAGAGGAAAACTTCCCACTTGTGAGAAGGCGAAGGATGGGCGCATCAGCAGTTTCTAAAACACGTAAGTTATTTGTTCTGTTTGCACCTCTGTAAACCCTTCTGACTCAGCAGGAAGGCTTCTCCTCCAGGGGTAATGGGGTTACATGTGGAATGTATCAGCAGCAGATTTCAGAAGAGTGCCGTATAGCTTACAAGAACCACAGCCAGGATGGCCTTGAATCAAGCAAGACGCTAGAGAGTACTTTCCTTCTTTACAGCAATAAGAAGGAGGTTGTTAAAATCATCTATCCGACTTACAGTTGTAAAACTGGATTAAACAATCAACATTTGCTATAAGGAGTTTTTGGACCCAAACTCTGTCACTGTCTTATGATATCTGAAGTACATTTGGGTGGTTTTATCAATACATTTACTGGAGAAAGTAAGAGGTAACTTCATAACGACAGTTAATAACAGAACAGTAAAATCACTGGTATTTCAAGAATCAAGTGTATTATGTGTATGTGCATTTGCTTGGTACTTTCTGGATTTTTCTGGCGGCTGCCAGAATACAGCTAATCAACAAATATTTCTCAGGCTGTTTGCTTTTCCTAAAAGATTCCTTGGGGAATAACAAACATCTTCAAGAAGAACCTTACTTCTCTTTGGCTCTCTTTATTGGCAAGTGGAGACACAGAACTTAGATCCAAATATATTGATTAGGCCAGGCCTTTTCCTTAGCCAAAGTATGAGGTAGGCGGAGTGAGCCTTCAGTTCTCTTTAGGAGACCTTTCTTTAGTCCTCCTCCATGCTGTAGACGCCCAGAAGGTTGTTTGCCGTCTCTTTCCCTTTATAAGTCAAGTTTAGCCTCAGACTCTTCCTCTTCTCACACCATCTTTTGTCTACCCTCACCCCAAAACCATCAGTTCTTATGTGTCACTATCCCTGTAGGTAGCCTACCCAACTGGCAAGCAGAAAATCAAGCTTTCTCCTCCCTCCCCTGCTACTGGCTATACCCCACCTCACCCCCACCAAGCCTGTGCCTCTGCTTAGGCCAGTCCTTCTGCCCGGAAACAGTTCTTCCCAACTCTGGCTGTTGACCTCTTCCTCACCCTTCACTGGCCATCGCTAATACCTAGCCTTTCACAAAAACTTCATATATTTTCTTGGGTAGGAATGATTTTTCCCTCCTTTGAAATCTCAGAGTGATTTTATACTCTCATCTTACTATCTTTTGTTTGATTATGCATTTCACAATTTTCTTTTATGAGTCCCTACACTAGGTGATACAAAGAACAGCCTTATTGGATGCTTTCCTCCCCACATGAGTCATCTCTGAAGACACTCATGAAGCTTTGTGCTCAATAATGATGGTTGTTGTTTCTTCTGGAGCCTTAAGAAGGGCTCCACTCTGGTTGGAAATTGATAATCCAATTACATTTGATTTTAAAAATGGAGCTTAGTGCTCTGTTTTCCAATCAACTGTGCTCAGTGAAAAAGGAATCCATTGCCAAAAATATTTAGGACACACTCAGTATTCTTTTCTGGTGGTTCATAAGGCACAAACTCACACTGAAGACTGAGCAATTTTATTTAACTCTAGCAATTTTCAACTTTACTTGATCACATAACACCCATGTCATTGTTTTCCTTTTAACTTTTCAAAAATTTACCTGAGAGTAATTGGACAAATATTGACTTAGGATTTCTATTTGTTTACTGTCATTAATACTTTCAATCTGGAGTGACAAAAGGTATCAGTAAATATAAATAAAATATAAATAAAGAGCTATATTGCAGGGAACAATCTGGTAGAAATGTGGATATCTGGGACTTCTCAAACCTTACTATGCATGTAATCATTTGCTCTCCTTCTTTATAGCAAAATTTTATAAAAGTATCATTTCCCCTTGGATTAGGACCCAGAAATACTGTTTTTTTGAACTATGAGAATTGTAAAAATAGAATTAAATGTGGTTCACAAGGCAAAACTGTCTATATTAATTAACTTCATTTTCTTCTTTTCTCTCCTCATCCTCTCTCCCCTTCCTTCCTTTCTCCCTCTTTTCCTCCCTCTTTTCTTTTCCTTTCCTTTCCCTTCTCCATCCTTATTTTCTTTCTTCCTCCTTCCTTTCTGTTTCTTCCTTTCCTTCAATGTAAATTGTACCAATAATCTTCTGAATATCTGACATTACTTCCAGCTGAATAACCTGTACAATGTCCAGATGAGAAGTTGGGATTCATCAAATTATCTGAGAGCGTTTCAAACTTAGTTGGATAATTTTGATGACAAAGAAAGCCTGTGATGAGGTTATTAATCCTTGTACACCTATTAAAAAACATTTTCAACAGTGGTGAACAAGGGAGGCAATCGGGGTAATCAAGTGCACAGAATTTGGAGTCCTAGTGGATTTATTACACCCAACTAAATTGTATTCTTAGGCAGGTTACTGAAACTCTGTGAGCCTCAGCTTGCTCAAATATAATGTGATGATACCAATAGCACCTTACAAGGTTGCTGTGAGGTTTACTATGTTTATTGGTTAACACAATGCTTAGCACATTTAAGTGCTTTAAAGGGTTCAGTGTTAATAAAGAAAGAACATGGATTTTCATTTCAGCTGTCTCTGATATAAAGAAAACTGAAAAAAAAATAAGGTCATATTAGCCATCTAAAATTAAAAAGGAAACTACATTTCCCAGAATCCCCTTGTGTGATTCTGGGTTAAAATCGGCCCAAAGAGGAACTTGAATGAGATTTGAAAGGCAAAATGGAAGCAGCGTCCATCAACCTGAAAGTCTTTTTGCATCAGAGGCAGTGACAGAGGCATAGGTGCTTGGCAGGTTCCATATAGCCTCCACTCTCTTGAGCTCCATACCCGTTTCTTCTTTCCAGCTGTTGGAACTGTTGACCAACAGCAAACTCAGACCCACTACCAAGTGTTCGGCTGTGGATGTACAAAGGAGGAAGCTATACAGAGGCATCAGCATCCCACAGCCATCTGTACAAATTCACCTTTCATAGTTGTACTTACCTGGCTGTGCCTCGTCACTCACATTGCCTGGTGACTCCTCTGATGCTCCAACTCCTCTTATGGACCTTCCACAGCTCCTCCTGCCATTATGTGAATTCAAATCCATTATCCCATAAAACTCCAACACTGTTCTGCTGATGGAATCATGACAATTACTGGGACAAGAACAAAATTTAAGAAGTGGAATCTAGAATTAGTTCTCTGATCTGACTAGACTTAAAAGGCATTAGGGACCCTGTTTGCAGCAATAAGTGGGACCATGGTCATCCATGGCATGCAGTGGCAAAATGAATATTTAAATGATCACCTGTAGTCACCTGGAGTGAAGTGCCTATAGAAAGCAGGGCTCTGAGTTACCAACTACCAGCTGCAATAGAACGTTTTCATAGCAACAAAGAGAATAATGACTGTGAGGTTGATTCATTTCTTCTAAATAAGCTGGAGAACTTAGAGAAAGAGAATAATAAGTCAGGGGTTTTAAAGTCATAGCTCTAGGTCTAAGTTGGGACCCAGAAAGCTTACATGACTCCCTTAAAATGAAGCCTTCTTAACTCTACTGCTGATGTTCCACCATCGGTCATGTCTTTCTTCTAAATCCATATTCAGTTTCAAGTCCTGGAAGGTTCAAGGGGGCCAGGCAACAAAGGGTGACTTTTGAAGTGGTACCATACATACCAAAGGAATTGCAAGATTTCACTAATTCATATTTACTGAAACCCAAGGTATGTTTAGGGATGTTTCTTAAGAGTGTTGTATTAGGATGAAAGGAGTACAATGTTGAATTAGCCTAGATGTTTTTCATATGGGTTCCCCAGGTAGAGATTCTGGATTAAAAGTGTTAGTTCATGTGGCTTGGAACAATTCTAACAATTTATGTGAAAACTGGACCCAATGGAGGCCAACATTCAATGAAGTTGAGATGCCGAACTTCTGAGCTATTATATAGTACAAAGGAAGATATACAAACGTTTAGGGAGGTTGGCTTTATTATGATAGATGTGCTCATCCACCTGTTACATATGCCCCCTAAGAGTGTCTAGAGGGCATTCCCTTCACCAGGGCTTTGAAAAACACACTGGTGAAGGCAGCATTGGAACCCTTAAAGAAGTCTGTAGTGGCTATTCTCTGGAAGCCAGGAGTGACACTGGGAAATGCTGCCATTGAACGGGGCTTCTTGAATTTAATGAGAATATGGCATTCCAGTAGGGCAGGAACCGAATGACTGCAGTTCACTGCCAGAGACCAGAAAAACATGGTTACCATAAAGGGCAGTAGAGTCAAAGAGGTACAGGAAATGGTTTGACCTGCAAAGATTTTTGGTATTGGCTCATTGATCAGAGAGTCCTAGGAGTGACGTACATCTCTAGGCTTCGTGAGCAGACATCTGATTGGACTCATCACAGCAGAGAATTGCAGCTGTTGCTCAAGTTCTGTACAAGAGCAGTTCCCAGATCCAGGACTCCTTAAATGAAGGCGAGGCTAGATCTCCTTGAGGCAGGATGCGGCTACACTGTCCCAAATTCAGTGTTAATCTACTTTCTAGTCTTTCCTGATGGGAACTGTATATTGGGGAAAGGGAAATAATCAGGCTCTTGGATGATTACCGGATTGCTGGCTCTAAACTGATTCCTCATGACCCTAAATTGCCACTGTAGTCCCATAGTCAGAGCAAGAGCTCATGGAAGTTAGAAAATTTAATCAAGCTTTGGCTTAAATTTGTCTCATAGTGGACCCAAGAGCCCCTGGACTCACTCCATAGTAATTTTTTTAATTCTGGAAGGTATTATTTGAAATAGACATACTCAGGAAACTCTGGGTGGTGAACACACCATAGAGTATATGGATATCCCATTATAAAGTTGTACATCTGAATGCTTAATAATATTATTAAGCAATGTTATCCCAATAAATTAACAACAACAACAACAAAACCCAAACAGCAACTGGCCAAACCCTTCTCCCCTTTGTTGTTCCATAATCTTTTATGGGATTTTATGACAGTAATGCCAATGGAAGCTGCTAAAATACAAAGAAAGCCAGATGATACCTGCACATGCAGTGGGATGTATTAGAGGTGAGGGACCCTAATTCAGGGAATCTGAAACTTTTATAATGAGAAATAAGCATGTCTGCCCTTTGTCCAAAGAGAGACACTAACTTTATCTTCCAAGGCTGTTCTCTGCACAAACATCCCTTAGAAGATATTCCAGAACAAAAGCAGACAGTGCCAAGACATGCGGAAATAAGAGAGACCTATGAAGAATTGCCTCCCAACAGGAAATTTCACATATTTTATTGAAAAATCTAAGAAATCATGTGAATCATGTACAATATTTTCTCACAAGAAAAAATTTAAGCTGGTTTTTTAACGTTTCACAGAATTGTAAAACTTTAATTTTTAAAAAGAAAAAAACACAATGAAACTACCACAGTATTATCAGCTCTTTGTTTTTCCTTGTTTCTAGGGAAAAGGCTGGAAAATATTCAGTAAATTTTCTCATTATGATTTGTGAGGCTAAGTACTATATTCTTTTAAAATCTGCTAAAAGATACAACGAAATGGGTGGATCAATGCTTTCTTTGTTCAAAATATTTAGAAAAGCTAAACTCTAATGACAACATGTTAAAATAATACACATTTTTGTAGGATGTTACCATGTCTATAACGGTTTCTCTACACTATATCAACAGTGCAATGGTGATTCAGTGTAAATCATTACAGTGTTTCATTGTTACAATACTTGTGTTCAAGTACATGTTCATGAACATGATCAAAGTCTCTATTTTGACTTTTTCCTTTCCATTATTAAAATAAGGTTATAATTACAGTAGAAATTTTCCTATGGATGTCTCTAAATCTGAAGCAAATTCATAATACATTCTCTAAAATCCTGTTAACACTATGAGGTTTGTTATGTTTACACATCTCCTGCAGATTACAGAAAATGAGCTAATTCTGCATCAGGACACCCAAACACAAAAATGATTTCTCTCCATGGATAGCTAAACTATACGCTAAATTAGTATACATTCTGCATAACTCAATGATATTAGTGGGGAGAGAGTAGCACCTTAGAGACAGTCCTAACTTAAAAAAAAAATTTTTTTTAAAGCCTAATGATCTTAGTGGTTTTTTTTTTTCCTTTTTCTTTTTATTCTGGTAACTGGATCCATCTTATTCCTATAAAATTACTTATGAAGCCATATAGTATAAATCAAAATGTTTGTATTACCAAAACAAACACCATACTGGATGTTTGGCAGGCCCCCAAAATAAATTAATTTGATTAAATTATAGGTAATCTGATAATATTTGGTCTGAAAAACATGCTAGTGTGTGTGTTTATAAATAATGTCATTGCAAAGAGCTGTGAGCCAGCCGGTCTGCTAGGGGTCAACTCTTCTGCTGCAGCTTTTGGGCATAGAAGTCCCTGCACGTCTCGCAGCAGCGCTGATACCACCGCATGTCCTGACACAGGTTCTTCTCGCGTATCACTCGGCAGTACACGGGCCACTGATCTCCCAGGCACTTGAACGTCAGAGCAGCTGTAAGGCGGAACAAAGGGAACTCAATACGCGCAGGTATACCAGATGTCCCGAGTAGAAGCGATTAGTAATCATGTAAGCTGAGTAGAAGCGAATGAATAGCAATCACGTAATTGGGGAGTTTGTATACTCACTTCGACTCATTCATAGTATTACCTTCTGAAACTTAAAAGACAGAGACACACTCACAGACACAAACACATATCTACCCCCCTATAATAAAGGAGTACAAGCGAATGAATATTTTCACTGATGAACTTTTATAGACTTATGCAAGATACATTTCCCAACCTCAATGCATTGTACTGCCAATGGCCTTTAAGGTTCAATATTATGGCTTGCATTTAAGCTTCTTTTGGATTTCTAGTTGAGAATATCACAAAGAAAAATAATTGAGCGTGTTGTATCTACCTTGATGGGAATAAAAATTAGGAAGTGTTCTAATGGATGAACTTGGAAAGAAATAGCAACACAAAAATACGTTCACACATTTCAGATCTCTCATTTCCTAAATAGCAGACACGTCCAACTGGGATATTTATAGCAATAAGTTGTTTGAAAGGAGAACTGGATATAAAAGATTTGGTAATGTAAGCTTAGCTTCAGGTTTTCTGACGAAATAGTGTCCTAGCATGTATAATAAAAATCAGTCCTGCTACAATTCTTTCTTTTGTCACTATTCTAATATGATTTTATTATTTTACTTTTAAAAACCTTAGATTTTCCAACCACTGTGCTTTTGTGTTTGGGGATGCACATTGCACCTTCAAGGAAAAAATAAACAGAGAAAATGTAATTTTAATTACATTCTTTTAATCCATTATTTTCTGCCACATGATACTTCAAGGACTCCAAGTAATCGTCGGAGAAAGGGATTATGTTGCTTTGGATTTAGTGTATCTGCTCTAAAATTGCTTAACTTTCTGTCTTAACTTGAACTGATTATTTCTTAGAAAAGTTAATTATTTGGCTTAAAGAAGAGAATTTCTGTATTTGCAGGAAGACCAAAGTTTTCCATCTGATTGAATCTTATGCCTGGAAAATGATAACAATTTATGATTCAATTGTTCCTCTGGAGATTATATGCATAAATTAAAACTAAACGCGTTAAGCATAAATTAAGCCAGGTAGCAGTGCTGTTAAAAGCCACTCGTTTACACAGAAATAAAGACACATTCATTCCTGAATATTTATTATGCAAATGCAGGCTATATTTACTTAAAATACATATCCTACTTCTTCATGATGGATTAGAGTGAATAACAGGAATTGAGAATATATATGAATGCATCGTAGAACATAAAAACTATGCAAATCAATGTTACTAGTATTTATTTGTATTTAATATTATGTCCTTAAATATGGAAAAAGTGATACCTCTTGTTTGGTGGTGTAGATCCATGCACCCATTCCTCTTGAAAGCCATAGCTTACTCTATGTCTCTCCAAAGGACATTTTGTACCCAGGATCACAAGGAAGGCTATTAACAATGGAGACATCTAAAAGTATATCCTATAACCTCACCTTTCTACTACACCTCATCTTAATTGATAGTTCTGCCATGGTACTGGTAAGAACCCAAAATATGATTACAGCCTTAAACCCTTTATAAGATTACCTTGGGTGGTGTGGCATTTGTATATCCAGGGCCTGGCTCTAAGTAGACAGTTTCAGGAATCAAAATAGTTTAATCTTTAGGATTTTTTTTACCCACCTGACCATTCGGACTAAACCATAGTTAAGTAGAGTCAATATAGTTGGAACTAAACTAATGAGTATACATCTATAACTAAGTTTTAAAGTGATATGCAAAATAGAAGAAGTCATGCGTATTTCCATATTTCTCAAAAACATCCCGTTTTATGATCTGCTTACCCAGCCTGGGTGATGTTATGGTATTTACATTAATCTTCTCATTGCAGGGCTGAAGGTGGCATGGCCTGTATGCTGCAGGTTTTTCTGAAGAAAAACATTCATTTCCATGTCTTCCTGTGATCTTATGCATGCACTGGATAACACGGGACTGCATTCCTTTGCCACAGGTAATTGAGCACTGGGAGAGATACAAGCCTTGTTAAAAGTCCTTTTTGCCATTTCTGTTTTCTAGACTGCGAGCCACCTCCTCCCTGTATTTCTTAAAATTGAACATGAGCCACAACATCCAGAGTTGATGCAAAACATGGGTGAGAAGCGTTGATGCTCATAACTTGGCCACAATGTTTTCTGTGTCCTCTGGCTGACCCAAGGCAGCGCTCTAGGCAATGAAAGACATAGGTGAGTAAAGATGGATAGAGAAAGCTGGAGAGTACAAGTTGGAGTGAAAGAGAGTGAATGACACCAGTACACAGGGCAGACAATTTTTAAAGTTCTAATATTTAGTTTATAGTAAATACTTCGCTATTTTTAATTTAGTCATTGACGCTCAAGAGTTAGCATATGGAGCTGGGTCATGTAGTCTTTCAGTCTGCTCATCCACTCCATTTGCTTTGGCCTTAAAATGTTCATCAACAATCCTAACATGGCCCCTCAACCCAATGTGCTATTGAAATTACTGCTATTTCTTGGCAGATTACATGACATCCAATATTGTGCTAATAAAAGTAATTGATAACCTGGATTTTTCTAAGAAAACACCCTTTTAATGTATTCCCTCTATTTCAGCTAAATGTAGTTTGTCTTCACTTGTAAGATATTTTGCAAAGAAGAACATATTTGATGTACAATGATCCTTTATTAGAGAAATCTCTTGGATCCACACGTATCACTATTTAATTTGTTACACAAATAAGCTGGTGCTTATTTGACTGAGAAAATACAATGATTTTATGGTACCACAATTACATGTGAGAGAGGGAACATGCTTGTGTTGTTGAAAATAATGACTTATTCACGTCACATTATATTCTATATGGTAAATATTTAGCCATTCTTGACTACTTTCTAAATTCCTTAGAACTCTTTTTTAAAGAGATGATCTCACGGTATTCTAATTGAAAATTGGAAAATATGTTCTAATTATTATCTTTTAGATATACAGGCATAAGGTTTGTAACGTTTTGTTTTCCCCCTGTGCTTTTACCAAATCATTGTTAGGATTGCACTCTTGACTGTCAATTCTTGCTTTACTATTATCATGGGTCCCAGCTCTTCTTATTTTCACTTGCACAAGAAGCATTCTACACAAACCCTCATCATGTCGAGCCTCGTCTACTACTGTTTGCTTTGTCTTTAGTCCCCAGCCTTCCAATTAATCCCAGATATTAACACTGACTATATATTCTTTCAAACTTCCTTTACATATAGAATCTCCTTGGACAAAAATCTTTCGTTATTGAGTCCATTGCCTACGAGATAGAGCCCAGGAGCCCAGAATCTCCAGGTTGGCATTTACCTACCTCCTCAACTTCATTTTCCACCCATCACTTTAGGAATCATTTGCTCTATTATAAAACTAATTACGCCCATTCAATTTCTAGTCTCACATCTACAGTTGTGTAGATAGTATTACTCCTTTCCAAAAGATTGGCTGCTTTTCAAATCACAATTCGAATCCACTCCCTCCATAAAGTGTACTACAATTACCAACTACTTATGCATATTTATGGCTTAAAGCATATATCCATATATCGAAGCCTATCTCTTAGAATCACTTAGAAAAACTTTTTTTTTAATTATAGAGTTTAAGGCCTAGAATTTCTAAGTCAAAAAACTCAGATAGGATATGGGAATATGCATTTTTTAAAAAAAATTATCTAGGTGAGTCTGCTATATAGCCTGAGTAGGAAACTACTGGTCCATAGTATGTGTTGTGTATTTAACACAGACCAATTGTATTATTTCTTATCTTTGATTAATATCATTTTTTTTAAAAGACTTTATTGGGGAATTGTGGGAGGTGAACAGCATTGAGGAATCGGGGAAGGGGAACAGACAAGTTGCTGTCCTTTTGTTCTTCAGTCTAGTTGTGGAGGATGTCTAGTTGTGGAGGACGCCCATGTTGGTATTATCATTGAGCTCTTCCCGGCTGAGGCAGATGGGTCACTGGCCATTGGACGGCTGCTCATGACAGCTCAAGGCAGCTCAGGAAAGCTCACGCCCACTGCCAGCCAGCCCCACTGCAGCCTATGCCGTTGCTGGTGACTCACAGCAGCCCACCTCCAGGTCGAGCTGTTGTTCACCATCTTAGCTGTAGAGGGCACAGTGTCACTGGCCCTCATATGTGGGATCCGAACCGGGGCCCTGTTGCTCAGAGCTGGCATCCTGAGCCAATTCCTAAGCAATATGCCACTCTGCCGGCCCTAATTAATATCTTTTAATGCCTCTAGTCTGTCTCTTCAGGTAGATGGTAAATCTCTTGAAAAGCTCATTGTCATGTCACCTTCAGTAATAAGACCTACATGTCAGGGATGAAAATAGCTTACTAAGAATAATGGAATTTTTATGTGCATGCCATTACATGAATATACTTTCCAGATAGTTGATCAATCAACATTTTATTCTGTAAATATTTCTGCACATACCCTCTTTGTAGCTAATGAATTCTTAGCTTTCTGCCAATAGCGAATTAAATAACAACAATTAGAATGTTACATCCCCTTAAATCTGATATTTTTCTCATTAACCTTTACAAGATTTGAATGTTTCCAGTTCAGTTTAAGCTTTACTTTAACTTAAAACTATTAGAGGAGTGACTGTTTGACATGGCATTTCTTACTTGAAAGCATCTTAATACCACTCTATAAAATGGATAGAATTATATAAATGAAGACATCATGCTTCTTACAAAAATATTTTCAGGAAAATTAAAAAGAGTTACACTAAAAATTTTAAGGGGTTAAGTTAATATAGAAAAATATCATTCTAGTATCTACTCCTAAAATTTCTGGAGATCTTGAAAGTAATCACAATATTTGAGAAACCAAAAGAATAATAGTTTTATAATACATTAACTCATTATGATGCAATAGCAAAGGTTCTCATCATGTGTCAACAAAGCCCAGGAATCAGTCACAGACTATTCTTGATACTTTTGATTAATCAAAAGCATTTAACTTATATTAACTCCAAAGGACATGAGCAAACCAAAGTAACACATCATTTTCCAGGACCATAAAAAGTTAAGTAAAGTAACTATAAACATATGATAACTCAGAACACATAATTTTAGCAGATATGGCTGAATAGAGACTTTCATACAAATTTGAAAAAGTTAAGAGAAAAAAAATGTTAGTTGCATTCCTTAAGCAAGCTAAATTTTGTAACTTGTATTTGGAAATAACCTGGAAATAAAAATAGTATCCAGGAAATAATGAAAGTTCTAGAATTCATTTAACTAAAACGGTCTCATTTCTGCCTTTGAAACTAATAAAATAAGCTTTATTATGGAGTATGGAGTTAAAAAACCTAATGGCCTTAGAATCTGGTTTTCATTAGAACACTTTAATAATAAAAATATCAAGCTCTTACTAGTAATTATTTTCTTTATAAGACATATTTTGGAAAAACTTTTATTACAAATGTGTAAAAAAGGAACAGATATTTGAAATGGAGCAATTGAAATCCCAAGGTAGCTCCTAAACTATCTCTTACTTTATTATAGAAGATACTACTAAATAACTGGATATTTTCTCAAATCACATCACTATGATTAAAGATAGACATGAAAAGAATAAGCCAAAATAATTCTGGCCTTGAAATGAGGAGACCTGGGCTCTAATATTGTCCCTAGCAACTACTTTACCTGGGACTTATTTTTCATTTTTGGTAAGCAAAGCACTGGAGTAGATCATAGCTACACTTTCAGGTCTAAATTACTATGAAAGTATATCTTATTAATAAAAGTTACTTATTATCCAAATACCTTATTATTAAAAGTTACTGTAGTCTGACAAGTTTTATGTGGTGAAGCTATGTAATAGTAAAGACTCTAATTTCATTATCTAATTATTCACTGTACCACCCAACAATGGTATGACAGAAATTCCATTAAATAAAGTCTCAAAATATAGTTTGCTTGAGTGTCTCAGAATAGTCAATCATTTATGAGTTTTTCAAATATTTATTGATTACTGATTATGTTAAGGATCTTGTGCAGAAAATAAAAACAACAGAAATTATTAATACTATGGAGCTGGTATTTAATTCAATGAACTTCATTGCAAAACATAATGATATAAAATAGCACTATAGACTTCCATGAAAGGCCAAAATGCTAAAATGTCAACATCAATTTGTCAGCCATTGGTAAGCAAATGCAGGGTATACCAGATAACTTGCCAATGATCTTTCCTTTATAAGGAAAATTTCCTAACTAGAGTATTTTAAAAAGAGAGAATTTGCTGTCTAACAAATATTCTGGTCCCAAACAGTTTATTATTGCCCTGGAGGACCTTTGAAACAAAGTACCCCATGAATCAATTCCATGAATTAAAAGCCTTTAATTCTAAACAGCAAACACAATTTTGGTGTCCCAACTTTATCAGAGTAAAAAGGAAACAGTCATCTTTAGAACAAATTTAAGCAGCTTAGAAAATTGCTCATGTGATTTCGGAGTTAAAAACAGTTTTTTTAACGGCAATAACATGGCACAAGGAAAACTAATGTTGCTCCCTCTTTCCTACCAAAAAAAAAAAAAAGTTGAGCTCCTACATCTTTTAAAATAAAATTTGTTTTATTGATTTAGTGATATTCATCATGTCAATCTATCCGAGAAAAGCATGAACTTCCCTGAACTTGGGTATACATAAATATTATTTTCAGATAGTTTTGCTATAGATTACTCTTATAATGGAATAAATCCTTTCTAGGGCATTAGTAACAATTTCTAAGACTGTATTAAATTATGTCTACACTGTAGCTTACATGTCAAACATTAAACATGATACAGGAAATTTTCTCAGTAATTCAAACAGTTCAGAATATTAAAATTAGAGAAAGTTGAGTAAATGGAATCACGAATACAAATGGTAGCAAATCAACAGAAAAAAAAGGCTTTATCCTCTTTTAAAATGAGATATACATTATAGAACCTTATAATTGTTTTGATTGTCTAAA